ACATATTCTTACTAGCGCGAAGGACTGTCTGATTCGCCTTATAAGGAATGGTTGCAGCTCGCAGAATGCAAAGCTGAGGGGCGGATACAGTTGCAATTTGGGTTCAAAACTATTCGGAGCATTGCTTTCTATAAAATAAATTTGTATTAATAAGGCAGTGCAAATTTGCCGCCAAACGTTTTTTTGGGCGGTCGGAAAGAAGCTCATGTAAAAGCGGGCACTATGGCATAGCTGAAACATCTTCAGATTAGGCTGTATTTACACAACTCCACGTGCAATGCTTAGCCGCTCGCCTCCCGCTCCTGGTTGCACGTGCGGACCTGAAAATCGCAACGGCAATGGTCTTTCCTACTAACTTAAGCCACTGCGACAATGCTGTTTGATAGTTCGTGGTAAAACTCCCATCTTAGTAATCATTTCTACTCGAGAACACACTTCATTATAGCGAAAAGTGGCATTGAGAAATTCCAAAACAAAAATTGGCAAGCGTAGCTGACTGTGGACAGTTTCATCAGACGTGTACATTTATTTTGCTAAGCAAATAAGTAAAACGTGCGGAAGAGAATTTATCAAAAGCAAATGTATGCCTGCCAAATTGTCTTTTAAAAATTCACTATTCTGGTTAAATTTCATGAGGTGGGCTCTCTCGCCTCCTTGTCCTTCATTAAACATTTTGTCTAAACCATGCTTATGCTTTTTTTCTTGTTCACGCGGACTTCTGCCAGCTCCTACCATGGCTGATTAGCTTTTCGGAAGATTTGGATAATATATTTGACCCAAGTATGAAAACCTCGACCGCCTCGGTGGAATTTGAACCCACATTAGCTAGGGGAAGGCTTCACTACAACCAATGCTCTAGCAAACTGAGTGATCAAGGTCCCAATGTGAGCTGTGACTTTAATCACACACTTGGGTCTATTTACCTGCCTTAGTAGGTGGTTTTGGCAGATTTGAATAATCCATTTGACCCAGTTGTGTAAAACTCACCGGCCTCACTGGGATTCTAACCGACGCCAGCTAGGGGAAGTCTTTAGTACGCTCTAGCCAACTGAGCTATGAGGCTCCCACTGGGAGCCTTGAATCTAATCACACATGAGCTGCTCATTACTCTACCAATTAGAGGACTAGATATGCATTTGGCTCTTTGCATATCGATTGCATGCCGATTGTTGTTCGCTTTTCAGTTCAACAGGCTCCACCAAAAACGCGGGCTGTGCGTCTTGTGATATTTATGCCAGTACAGCACAGCACAGCCACGCCAGAACCTTGCAATAAATGCTTGTGGCCCACCAGACGTCACATCTTACTGGGACAATTCAGTTTACCTTGAAGATGTATCCGTCCGGACTGATCTTATCTTTCTGCAGGAAGGCGGCTGGACAATGACATCGACGTCCCTTGTCAGTGTAATCAACACGATAGTTGGTTACGCCATCAAACGGCCCGTTGTCTATGATCGTGGGGGGCGGCTTGAAGTTCGGCACTTTGCAGAGAGCTCGCGGAACATATTCGGCCTGAAAAAAGCATCAGACTGGTAGGTGAATCGCAAATCCAACTGCGTAAACCAGGTCGAAATCGATGGTCACGGCTAGGGTTAGCAAATTTTAGTGGGAGAAAAAGTGGCAAGTCAATGTGTCGGCTCAGTGTGTCGTGAAAAAGGATACCAAAATGCCTGCATCGCACGTTGGAAATGAGTGAAAATAACCGATATCCATCAAGAGGGAGCAAAAAATGACCGCCATCGCTAGAATTAATAGTCTTTCGGGATAGCGACTGAATCTAGATAGAGTGGATCAGGACACGGTAGCGCAGCAACTAGCATGAAGTTGACAGGGCAGGCCAAACCATCTAAGGCATTTCCCTCATTTAGCGACTTACAGCAAGCTGTGACATTTCAAAGGCAGCTGACGCGTCAGCAGTCTTACAACGTCACCGAAAAGGCACGTTCGCACGAATGTTAAGGCCCAGATCAATGTATTTATTCAGGAATATGCAAGGACGCATATTTTGGGAGCACCTGCTGCTGAATATGAACGTGGTGGCGGACAACTTATGTGAAGCTTTATTTAGTTGGCAAAGTTAGTTTAAGCAGTGCACCTCAAATACCTCAAGTCCCAGCATTTCGTCCTACGAAAGCGGTGGTTATAGGGGTTTCGAGGGTGACGAAAGAGGAGAGCCAGTGAAGGACATTTGTAGAAGTAAGTGGAAAGTGCAGTTGAATTTGTTTCCCGCGGTCACTGGGAGTAAGCTGTTCCGCATGTAAGTTAAAGGTGTATGGGGCCCTTCGCGCCACGGACTGTACTAACTCCAAAACAGTAAGTTGGTCCTCAGGTAATTTGAAGTATACGACCTTCTCACCACCATTTCTGCTTTTTCAGGAATTTCAAGAAACCTACATTTTGATAATCGCTTACCGATAATACGGATTAGGAAAATCTACACATATAATTCAACAACATTTCTAAATACAATAAAATAGAAATGCATATGGTAGGTATTAAAGAATATTCCACTACCTATCCTAATTCGCCACCAAGAAAACCCCCTATAACCACCGTTATGCTGAGAGGCGCACTATTTAAACTACTGTTGCCATTTATTTTCGCGACCTTGGAGTCAATGTTTCCAGACAAACCTATTGAAGCGTGGTATTAAAGTTAACATAAAAATTTCCATTGGATTCCAACAGAATCAATGGACTAACCGCTAAATACTCACAATTTTTCAACGATATAAGAATATTAAATGAATAGATTATTACAAGAAAGGGTGGGCTAACAAGGGCCAAATCTGGCGTCTCTTGATATCCAGGGAATTTTCTGCGTTTATAGACGCTGTGAAACAGAACGTCTTGTTCATGTGTGTTTAACAGAGCATTAATATAAGACAGAAAATTTTCAACTATATCTTTACGGGGAACGGAGAATTTAATTTTCCTTTTATAAAAATCAGGTAAATGCAAGAATGATAAATCGCAGTTTTTTGGAAAAATAAGAGCCAGTTCAATTAAAAAAGAATTATATTCTGCAAACCTGGTACTTTTTGTGTTATTAAATTAAGCAATAAAATTGTGAGGCTGTAGTCTGCTTTTTCACATCAAAAATAAGGACCATAAACGACCACATATATATGAACACGCCAAAAATCTCGTAGGAAATGCTAAGTGATGAGCAGAACGTCTCGCAGTTACGTAATGTCGCGGCACAAAATCAGCCAATCACGCGTGCCTGAGATTTTAGTTACTTTCTATGTTGTCAGTATGGTTAACCATTTAGTAGTTGTTAACCAATAACTGCTTGTCGGCAACTTGTGAGTATTGTGCGGTTATTCCACAAATACTCATACCACTTTTCGGAGCCAGCCAAAAAACGATCTATTCCGAAGGATGCACTCCAACATCTCACATTAATGACTGCGGAAATCTAGGCAACGCTAGTTTAATTGGTGCACCTAATATACCCCTTTTATAAGCATTTTGTCCTATGGAAACGG